GGGGGCCGCTTTGTCCAGAGCCGTGGCGGCCCGGCAGGGGAGCACCTTGGCAAGCGTGCTGTGTCTCCGGCAGGAGAACTGCAGCATCCTCAAGGAGCTGGTGGCCCTGCGCGCCCAGAAGTCCAGCCTGCTGGGCTTCCCCACGCACGCCGACTTCGTGCTGGAGATGAACATGGCCCAGACCAGCCAGGCCGTGGCCACCTTCCTCGGTAACCCCACGGCCTGCCCTGGGTGGCCCCTGGGCTGGAGGAACCTCAACCCCTGGGGAAGGCGGGAGCGGGGACAGGCAGGGCACGCGCCGGGCCGCAGCGAGGCGGGCTGCCTCTCCCCTGCCCAGACGAGCTGGCCCAGAAGCTGAAGCCGCTGGGGGAGCAGGAGCGGGCCGTGATCCTGGAGCTGAAGAAGGCCGAGTGCGCCAAGCGGGGCCTGGAGTTCGACGGGTGCATCCACGCGTGGGACATGCGCTACTACATGAACCAGGTGGAGGAGACGCGCTACCGCGTGGACCAGAACCTGCTCAAGGAGTACTTCCCCATACAGGCGGTCACCCGCGGGCTGCTGGGCATCTATCAGGAGCTGCTAGGGCTCAGCTTCGAGCTGGAGGACGGCGCGGCCGCCTGGCACGAGGACGTGCAGCTGTACACCGTGCGGGACACGGCCTCGGGGCAGGTGGTCGGCAAGTTCTACCTGGACCTCTACCCCAGGTGGGTGTGGTCTCGCTCGCAGCCGCGGGGCCGGGAGCGGACTGGCCCAGGGCCTGACGCCGACCTGCCGAGCCGGGCCCCTTGGAAGGCTCTGCCTGTGGCGTGGGGGCCACGTGGGGGCTGTGTGGGCAGCACCCACACCTCTGCTGACAGGAGGGCCTGGGCGTCAGGTGGGCCGAGCAGCCGCCGCTCCGGGGCAGGCGGGCCGCCCTCCAGCCCGACCCTGCCTCGCTCCCTAGGGAAGGCAAGTACGGGCACGCGGCCTGCTTCGGTCTGCAGCCAGGCTGCCTGCGGCGGGGCGGCAGCCGCCACGACGCCACCGGGTGGCCAACTTCACCAAGCCCACCCCGGACACGCCGTCGCTGCTGCAGCACGACGAGGTGGAGACCTACTTCCACGAGTTCGGGCACGTGATGCACCAGCTCTGCTCCCAGGTGGGTGCCCTCGCAGCCGCTGCCCCGCCTGTACGCGGGAAGCCCTGTCCTGGAGCCGCGAGCTCTTGGAGGGCTGCATGGGAGAGGGGCGAGTGGCTGCTGTCTTCAGGTGTGGTCTGGACTTGGGCAGGCCGGCCAGCCACAGCCAGGGCTCTATCCGTCCCCGCCAGAGTCCGCGCTTCATGAGGGGTCACCTAGCATGTGACGCCCACCTGGGTGTCATGAGAGTGGACCAGCAGCAGGGTCCGGGCTTCCCCAGGCTGCGCTCCTCCTGTCCCTCTGGAGGCTCTACCCTCATCCCACAAGGCTCTGCTCCCACCCCTCGGTCCGCCCCTCGCGAGGCCCCGCCCCTCAC